GTCTAATATAACACCCAGATTTTTGACTGTAGAGGAAGTAACAGTACATCCGTCTAGTTGCAGATTGTAATCCAAGAGATTCTGTGTACTGCTCTTTGGTCCAATAAGTAATATTTCTGTCTTATCCGAATTCAATAGGAGAAAAGTATTGGTCATCCAATCTTTTAATTTGTAATTTTAACAAGTGCAGTTTCAGTGCTATGATGGGGCCTGAAACCTGACTGAAATTCTTCATAGAGATAATTTTTTGCAAGGAGCACAATTGAGCACAAACAACTTTTTCTAAAATTTTTAGACATAAACGGAAGATTTGGAATGGGTCTGTAATTTGCCAGTTCATTAGGATCTAGTTGTGGTTTCTTCATAAGAGGCTTAATAACCGCCAGCTTGAATGGTTTTGGGACATGACCTAAAGATAACGATGAGTTAATAATATTGAGAAGCGGTTCTTCTGCTACAGGTAACAACTCTTGCAGTAATTTAGTGGGTACAGGATCTAATAATTCCCATTGAATAAAGAGTCAATATCTACCACTTCTCTTCTAAATGAAAATATCTGCAAATATCTACCCATCTCAGTGAGAACCTGCTTAATTTTTCCTTTTTTCCTTTTTTTTCTTTAGACATATCTATTCATTTTTGTTAAAGTTCCTTCGGTTAATAAATCCTATTAGGGACTAAAAAATGGGTCAGGACACATTAAAAGGGGGCCTTCTAAAGACACATCATCACATCACAAAGCTCTAAATGTTTTAGTTTTATATACATTTATGATTGTCAAAAGAGAAAAATTTAAGTCATAAAGTCATGAACATGTGCACAACATGCAGAAGAGATTTATTGGTACTCAGTGACTGCTGATGACTTTAAAGATACAGATTTGATGCAAAACAAAATAAGAGGCATAATTTTAACAGAGATGTTGAGAAGAGTCGGATGCAAGCAGGCCTCATTTATGAGCATATTAATTATGTTTTTACTGTGATGTTGTACAGATGTTTTTTTTTTCTTAGTAACGTCATGTTTTCACTGATGACTTATTTTTGTACAAAATGGTCAAATGTCACTGTATCACATATTTGAGCATCTTTTCATGTTGCTTTAACAACAGTGGATAAAAATGCTTTAATTACAGCTCAGCCATATTCTTTACGTTGTTCACCATTTTGATTCTGAAGACTGCTAAATTCCGTGAATCTTCAGTGTTAATGCCTATTTCTAATGAAAGTAATCTGCAAAGGATACCAAAAAAACTAACAATATAGATTTATCAAAATGTTTAAAGTTTTGACTTCAAATACATTATTTACAGAAACGTACACAGCCCTTTAAATGATTAAATGGTCAAACTGGGCGAACGGTTTTTTCTTGACCAGATGGCATATAATTTCAGTTCAATGCATTTAATAAATTGCCACGCTCGGCTTAATTTTGTCATTTCATACGATGTAATCAAACAGATTTTGAGGTTAATTAATCAAATTTTGTGTTTCTGGAAAATAATGATCTGTGATGTTATAGCCTATTATGCTGAATATCAAAGGTTTTTGTGTCTATTTCTTAATGAGGGAATGAGTAGACACATCAATGTTTTATATTGTTTCAGATTTAGAAAATATTGTTTTATTTTGAAGTGAAAAGATAAAATTAGACTTCTTGGTCTCCCAAGAAGTAGCCCCAAGTGGCATCAGTAGATTATTCGTTTACATTATTTTATTAAGTAAATGCACACATTATTCTTTAGGGAGGCATCTTCCACTTACGTGCATTTAACACGTCACGTGTAATGACGAGGTTGAATCCAGTGATTCAGTGATTTGGTGATTCGATACAACAGAACTGCTGATTAGGCTGTTATTTTGCAGCGATATTTTTTATTGAGACAAGTTATTAGCATGTTTTAAGGTAGGCTATACAGTGAATCTAGGCCTACCTATTTGTTTTCTACCACAGCTTTCATTTACTCTAGCTGATGAGCTGTTCCTTTTAAGGAACAATACAAGGAACCGGTTTCATTGATTTCTGCACAGACCTATGAAAACATTTTTTTTTTTCCTTTAACACAAAGTGAAGACCCAATGAGGAAAAGGGCTAAAATAATATATTCCAAGTTTGCTGAAATTGTTTACATTCTGTTACATATGATAGAATTGAGTTACTTGAGTACAATTTGACAGTTTTTTAGCCATGCACTTTTATACCTACAGTGACATTTAGTTGGTCATTGGGATGAATAATAATGTTATCGCTAATTATATGGCATATATTATAACAAATATAATTTACCATTATTTTGATTGTCATTTTTGCTCTAGAATCAGAAGGGGGAAAAAAATTAAATTGTATTGTCATGTATATAATACATGACAATATAAATGCCGTTTATTCACTTTTGTGAACAAAAATTTTTGTCTTTATAAAATCAAGCTTTCTCACAAAATGGATCTGGCATTATATGTTAGGAAGAGGGTCTCTAGCAGTATAATCATCATATTTGGGGTCCTTGGCATCAAAAAGTGTTAAAACTCCTGCATTTGAATCTTCCCAGTCAGCAAACAAATTTGGCCCAGATTTGGCATGCATCTGTACTGTCGTTGTTGTGACTATTCATCTGGGAGGGGTGTGTATCAAGTGGCTTGGTTATGGTTTTGTTGAGGCTGACATGTGGAACCCATCTGGTCCAGCCTATAGGTTCAGAATAGGGCCAGCTATGGTCATACAGGTGGCTGAGATATGGCTCTGTCATGGCCCATATCTTGGCTGCCAGGTTTAGTTCACCTGGATCAGGCTCAGGTGTGGCTCAGTTTTGGGCTTTCTGGTTAAAGATTGGTGTTGATATGGTTTACTTAAGGTTGTGTTTTGGTTCCATTGTTACATTTTGATCTGGCCCAATTCAGGGCCAGTTATGGGTAATTAATTTGGCTGAGACTTGGGCCAGTAATGGCCCATGTGTGGCCCTTGTCTGGAATCCAGACCTGGTCCACACTAGTACCGTAATACATTGCGGTATGTGGGCCAAGCAAAATCTGGTTGTGTGGGCCGGAGCTGGGCCAGAGAAAAATTGCTATGTGGGTTATTAAAGTATTTTCTAGGACTAATACAAATATAAACTGTTAGAAACAACTGTGTAGCCCTATTATAACCTTCATGAGCCATCACTTTAAATATGTATTCATTGTAATGCATGTTGTATTCAAAAATGTTAAAAAGCGAAGTGGAAGTCAATTTGCAATAGAGAAACACGCACTTCTTCCTTGATTTGAAACGTACTGTAAAACTGTTACACACACGCACACACACACACACGTATACAACAACGTTCCTCGGTTCACAAGCAAGCATCTCCCCCATCTGGCTTTTAACCAATCATCGCTCTTTTTACTGTTGCTCAAACCACTGTCTAGCCAATCATCGTCCCCGTTCTTTGCGAGGCAGCAGTGGCGGTAATGTTATGGAGTTTTCTCCCCTTCTCTTCAGTGGCAAGTAGGAAACCCCAGGCCTACTGGAAACGCTAGATTTACCGACAACAAAACATCAGCATTCAAGTGGTGGTGGTGGTGGTGGTGAATAATATCCGTTTAGGTCTGCATGAGAGCATCGAAACATGGTGGTTCTCAAAATTAGAGACCAGGTGAGTGAATGTCTGAAACAGCTAGCCGAGTTAGGCTAATAAGTGCTAACAGGCTAGTGAACGACCCAGCAACCTCACAGATGATTAAACTGTCCAAAGTATTTTAACTAAAGCCGTTTCAGGACGAATACGTGTTACGTTATGCTATAAGCAAAAAGGAGAGCGAAATGTAATTTGTAGGTATGTGTCATCTCGCGCAGAAGGAAAGTAGCTAACATTTGCTAAGCTAAATGTGCGCGAGCCACGATATTAGTATAACGGGTTGTGACCGATGAAGTGTATACTATTTGTTTTCAATAATATGTAATTATTATAAGTAATTAATAAATCGCACAAGTCTTCTTACTTTTTGTGTTAAGACTCAGGCAACAGTTGGTCTCGTGAGGTTAAAATGGTTAACATGTTTTTTCACTGCTGGCTATTTGAAGTCATATAAAATGATAGCTTTAACGTCAGTCTGAGTTAGTTGACGACTTTGCTGAGTGCACGACAGGTGTATGGTCGCCTATCAGTGATGTTCAAATCCAGCCATGCATCGCAGGTCTAAACATAAATACAATTTGATAAACATAGGGGGATTTTAAGTTGTGCATTTGATATTTGTCAATCTTAGCATGTTATGCGAACTTTATATGAGATGTGTCTAGCATAGAGGAGATTCAAGAATAGAGTGACCTTACAGGTGAACTGACCCGGTCAGGCCAGTGGTTTAGAGTTTTACTTGCTCTGTCAAAATTTTACTGGCTCTGCTACAAAATAAATAAATTAAGTAAAAATGTATTGTTTTCGACGCATGTAACCTAATAAATTCTAATAAACAAAAATTTTAACTAATAAGGCTATGACACCATTTTTTTTTCAATACCACAGCAAAAACTACTAGCTTAACTAATATAAAGTTAACATCAGGTATATACAGCAGATCCGATTTCTTTCTCAACTGTTAATGTTAACTTAAAACATAACTAACTGTTAATGAAGATACTTGCCAAGATGCAAAAGTGTGCAAAATTTGACATAAGAGCGAATTGTCTATTCAGGTGCGATAAGACATGGAAGAGAACTCAATTCTAGTGCTGAACTGAGTTTTCTTTGGTGTCGTCTTGTGATTAAAAGGGTTAAATTTGCTTGAAGGTAGGGCTGCACGATAAATCGCATGCGATATTTAATGTTCACTGACGAGCTGCGCAAAACCACGTTCATATTCACGTGATTTTTTGCGCAGCTCGTCAGTGAACAACGGCTCTGTGTAGTTGATGCTGCTCAATGTGAAAGCCCGCAGGTGATGGAGATTTACCGCTGATTACAGAACCGGCTTTCTGACAAGATGCGCATTAAATATCGCATGCGATTTATCGTGCAGCCCTACTTGAAGGCTTAAATGGGTAAGACTTAAAAACATGCAAATGATAAAACGTTTGTGACAGCAGCTGTCCTGAGTGTTATCACTCCGGCCCCAGGACATCGGGCATTTTTTAGTCTTGAGCCCTGCTTGCACTTGCAGTGTATTCCAGGTGTTCTCTGGACGTCAAACCTATGACTTTGGCATTACCAGTTCCTTGTTCTCTCAGTTGACTTCCAGTAACAGAAGGAGAGTTCGGTATCCTGTTGTTTTAGGGTTTGTACATGTACACGTGTTTACATCACCCGGTGTGTGCTGTCTCCAGTTTGGAAGGACGAGGAGATACAGAAGAGCTCATCTCCATGGTGATGGCATTAACTAGAGGAGCTCGTTAAAGGAGACCGAACACGATCGCATCGCTTGAATAGACGATTAAACCCTGTATGCATGCAGTAGAGTGCAGGCCACATGTGACAAATAGAGCCTTGTCTCTCGGCTTAGAGCCACTGAAGGAGTCTTTTCAAGTGAAGCTTTCTTCAAGCACAATTGTTTGCTTGTTATGTTCTCACGACTCTCAGTGTGAGCTTGGCCTTCATCTGACAGCCTGAACTGAGACTAACTGGTTTAGCTGAGCTAGTGAAGATCTGGGAAGATGAACTCTAAATATTCTGTTGACTTTTTAAAAAAAATGTTGTGTTAGTGATTGGTGAGCTGAATGCGTATAAAACAAAGAGATCTTTCATTTTTCTTATTGTGCTTTAAAAAATATGTATACTATCTAATATTGACGTCTGATTTATGAAACTTCTCAAAACCTGTATATTGCGCATGTAATTTGAATGCCTTGCCGACTGTGTTATTCTCAAGGGTAGTGCGTGGTGTGAAACCTGAGGTAAATTAACACTTGGCTGTTATCAGAATTTTCTGCATCCCATTTCACAACACTCAAGAATGTGTGACTGAACACTTCCTGTAATTCGGGCATAGTGCACATACTTCCCATGAGTCACAGCAAGCCAGTACCGCAGGAGATGCGGAAGGCACACGCGTTGTTCTAAACTGTTGTTGTTTTATTGAAAGTGATGCTAAAGTATGGAATATCTATAGAGATACATGAATTTTGCTGAGGAAATGGGTCTCTGCAGAAGAGAACTTGTGTCAGTGGTTTTCTTTGATAGGGTTGCACTCATGGGTTTATTTGGCTTCTCTTTCACCTGTTGGAACTGGCACTCTTTGTTTGTTGAAGCTAGCTAAATATTTATTGATAAACATAAAATTAGCTGTCTGTGTCCTTGATGAACCAGTAGCACAAGCGTCGCTGCAGGGAGGAACAGTGGTGTCCAGCATTAACTCATGCCGGTTTGGAGCAGATCTGCACTGTCTGCACCATCTGCTCTCTCCACGCTGGTGGAGACCACCATGTTTTGCATCCATCTTTCAATTAATGATGAACATTTTTTTATCTATTATTTTGAGCTTCCTCTCTGGTTGGGATTCTCCTCTAGGTTTAAAACAACCCATTTAACTAATAATAAGGGTAATTTGTTTTAATATTTGACTACTTAGAATCTTGAAAAGTAAGCTTCTTTGAACTATTTCATCCTTGTTGTGCCACATTTCTTGGAATAAGGATCTGATCATGGTTTTGATCATCCTTTAAGTGGATTATGGTTCAGTGTGTGAAAGTGTAGATTTTTAATATTGTGTGTGATGGCAATTTTCAGTTTTTGAAATGAATGTAACGATTTTCAAATGCTGACTGTTTGGTGTTGACATCTAATAGAGCTGAGCTACCCTCAATTCAAGATTAAAAGATCTTACATGAAGTACATTTCTGGTTTTTGATGTGTCACTCTGTGGTTCTGGCAGAGACATGCCTGCTTGTCACTTCTCTTTCCTGTCATAGCCAAATTGTTCTGTAAAAATTGGCATGGTGGTAATGACTGTAGATGCACCAATTGCAATTTTCTTGGCCGATTCAGATTTCCGGTTTTCTTGTAAGTGTGCCCTGCCGATACCGATTTTTGCTGATTCCGATTTTCTTTCTAAGAGCAATAATTGACAGCATATACAAACAAAAATCTACGTTTTCTTCAATGCAGAAAAATTATTTACAACATAAAAGAAATTAGGTCTATTAAACATTACAATTCCCCCAATCTGGACTGTTACAGATGTTCTCTCTAGGGATGCTCCGATCAGGATTTTTGCAGCCGATA